AAAAACAGGGGTGCTGCTCTGGAAGGATCAGGCAGGGATTGTTGCTCCAAATGTAAATATGAGGAGCAGGATGGGGCACAGCCCTTAGGACTGATTGTCCAAAGGAATGAGCTTTTCCARCTTCTCCAGATCCATCAGAATTTGTGCAGAATGTCCAGGATTTGAGGAGCTCCTTGGTTGGGTTACTGTCCCAACTTTTCAGGAAAATTGCTGCTGGGACAGTCACTGAGGAAGGGTTTGATTCAGGATCTGGAGAAGGCAATTAATGCAGATTTGGGAGTGGAAACACTTAAAAAGGATGTCTGGAAGAATATTAATACCATCATGGTGAATGAAAAACCAGAATGAGAGATAAAAAAATGGTGCTGGCTTTGGGAAAATGCTGGAGGACTTCAAAGGGACAGGGTAATAAAGCTAAAAATTGAATGTGATACCACACACGTTCAGGAATTCAGGCAGAGCTGCTGAGAAAAAGAAACCAAAAGGTTTTGGCATCCTCAAATTCCCAGGACTCATTAATGTCATGTAGCCATTGAGAAATGAAATGAGATTTTCCTGATGGTGTGGGCAGGAAGGAAATGTGTCAGTCCTACATAACACAGGTTTGATCAGAAAGGGACTGTTGGAGGAAAAGCACCTGAAAAAATGAGGATTCTTCAGCGTGTCAGAGCACATCTTGAAAATCCTGGATATCCTGAAAAYGTGGGGAGGGTCTGATGGAATTTACTGCCTTTTCCAACACCATTTCTGGCACGTGGAAAACACCAGAAAATGAAGCTGTGCTGGGAAACTCCTCATGGGATGTAGTGGTAGCTGCTGGTGTTCATTAACAAATGGTTCACAAGGGTTTTTACAGAGGAACAGTCAGATTTGGACTCTTAAATCCACAGAGGGTATCCCTGGCTCCAGAATTCCTTCACCACTGGGAAATGGAAGCTGGAAAATCTCTGGCCTGCCTAAGTACAGCTCTGAGGTGCTTTTCAGGAGGCACAAACAGCAGAGCTGG